ATGTGATCCAATTTAGTAAAATATTAAAACGTAAAAAAAGAGAAAAGTTAGAGCAGTTAATTAGATCCATCTCAAATATTACTGCCATTACATCAGATGATGAAGTTCTTGTAACACAACTACAAAATTATCAAGAAGAATTAGACGAGATATATAAAGAAAAAGCACGTGGTGCTTTCATTCGCTCTAGATTAAAATGGATTGAGGAGGGTAAAAAAACAGTAAATACTTTTTTAATATGGAAAAAAGAAACATAGAATGGAAATCACTATCTAAACTAAATATAAATGATAATGTAACTGAGGATTACTCTGTAATCTCAAAATATGTGTCAGATTTTTATAGAGAGCTGTATAAAAACGATGATTGTATGGATAGCTCATGTTTATTAAACTCATTAGTAGAGGTAAACAAAGTTAATGACTCTCTAAAAGAGGAATGCGATGATGCACTCTGTATTGAAGAAATAAAATGGAGCATCAAAAACCTAAAATCTAACAAGTCACCTGGCAACGATGGTTTGACCTCAGAATTTTATCACAAATTCTCATCTGAAATTTCTGAATTTCTTCTGGCAGTTTACAATGAATCTATTAACAATGTAGAATTACCAACATCAATGAAACAGGGTCTCATCACTCTGATTCCCAAACCAAATAAAGACCAGTTAATAATAGATAATTGGCGTGCTATCACTTTATTAAATAATGACTATAAAATATTGGCATGTATTTTAGCTAAAAGACTCAAAAATTGTTTGAATGAGTTAATACATGAATCTCAAAACGGCTTTATGCCTGGACGTAATATTTCCGATAACATCCGCTTAGTGCTGGACTTAGTTGATTATAAAGATCTCATCTCTGGTGATCCAATTATTCTCTTCCTGGATTTTCAGAAGGCTTTTGATACTGTTAGTCACAACTTCATTTTTGATACATTATCCTTTTTTAACTTTGGTAATTTTTTCATTAATGCCTTTAAGACTCTTTACAGAGATAATAATAGCTCTATTAAACTTTCATATGGCACTTCTAGTCGTTTCAATATCAATCAAGGAGTTCGTCAGGGTTGTCCGGCCTCCCCTTACATATTTCTACTTGTTGGCCAAATTCTAAACTATTTAATCAGACAGAGCTCCTTTGAAGGAATCAAAATTTTTGATCGAGAACTTAAAATTTCTCAACTTGCCGATGATACAACAATATTTTTAAAAGATTCTAGTGAAGTTCTTGTAGCTCTATCTATTGTATCCAATTTTTCTAACATTTCTGGATTGAAACTTAATCTTAAAAAATGTGAAATCCTTCCCTTATTTACGACCGTTATCTCTGAAGTCTGTGGGATCCCTGTAAAAAACACTGTAAATTATCTAGGTATTAAAATATCAACAGATCACAATAAAAAAAGTAATAACTTTAATCTGGTTTCTGAATCTATCAGAAAGAAATTTAATGGTTGGTCAGCCAGGGATTTAACTATTTATGGTAGAGTGCTATTAAGCAAAGCAGAGGGGATGTCAAGGGCGTCTTATATTTTTTCATCACTAGAGGTCAGTAAGGCGCTCTGTTCTGAACTTGATAAGATTCTTTTCAAATTTCTATGGAAAAATAAAGCTCATAAAATTAAAAAATCTGTCCTCTCAAATTCTTTAGATGAAGGAGGCTTAAATATTTTGACATTTTCTGTTTTTAATCAAATTTTAAAAATTAATTGGATTAAAAGATTCCTAAAAAATTTAAATTCTATGTGGAATATTTTCCCAAATTATTTGTTTAATAATTTGGGGGGTATTAACTTTTTGTTGCGTTGCCATTACTCAGTTGGTAAACTTCCCATCAAGTTAGCTAAGTTCCATCAACAGGCTCTCTTCTGTTGGTCTTTGCTATACAAACATAACTACTCTCCTCATAACTGCATCATATGGAACAATGCTTATATTTTATATAAAAACAAATCTTTATACTTACATAATTGGGCTAACAAAAATATTTATCTGATAAAGCAGTTACTTGACATTAATGGTGAATGGTATACTTATGAGAATTTCATTAACATTAATGTTATAAATATATCTCGAAAAGAATTTGATTTGGTCATTAATTCTATTCCTCAAAATTTACATGCACTAGCACAAACCATACATTTAGAAGAATTATACTTTTATGATTCAATTTATATTGAAGGTACTAACATAATGCATAAGAATTTCAATAACAGGTTTATCAGATCTCAATTAGTTACTTCCTCTACTCTTATAAGTAAACATAGATGGGGCTACTTGAGCAATAAACTATGGAGGGAAATTTTCTTATTGTCTTATAAATATATTTTATCTAATAGAATTAAAGAATTTGTATTTGAAATTTTACATAGATATTATCCAGTCAAAGACTACATTTGCCGTTTCTTCCCAAACGTCAGCAAAAACTGCTCTTTTTGCCAGTGTGAAGGTGAAAGTATTGACCATCTATTTGTAGATTGTTTTCATATTATAATATTCTGGTCTGAAATACAAGAACTGCTTACTAAAAAAATTAAAAAGTACATTGTGTTATCAAAAAAGCAAATTCTTCTAATATTTAATAATTCATTATTTTCTTCAGACGAACTATTTATAATAAATTTAATTATTATTTTGGCAAAATATTATATACACAAAATGAAGTGGGATGAAAAAATACCCTCTTTTAATAATTTTAAAGAAACTGACCTAAAAATATATATTGCCTCTATTGATAAGCTTAATTTTAATAATAAGAAACTTATAAGAACAAAAACTCTTTTTCAGAAATTTAATTTTATCCCATAAGCAGACCCCTTTGTTGTTTTGTTGTTTTGCTGTTTAGTTTTCTTTTTCTCTTTGTATTGCATTTATTGGTTTATTGTTTCAGACCCTCTGCTATTTATGCTTGAATTTTATCTTTGTATATTTACCGAGATAGTTGTATTCACATTTAGTTAAGAAATGTGAGGTCTAGTTGAATATGTTTTGTGACAGTTTTGTATCATTTGTATGTGTGTGTATTTTGTTGATTTTGGGTTGGAAGAATTTTGTAATGTTCTCTAATTGAAATAAAGTTTAATTAAAAAAAAAAAACATGCTAGCTTCAATGCTACCTAGCCCCCTGGTGTCTCACAACAGGCAGAAGAATGTCAGCGCTGAAGGCAGCTTTGAACAAGCACATGTTTTTCATGAGGCATTTTCAGGTGTGGAGCTCTTGAAAGAAGCAATTATGAAATATGTGAAAAATAATGACAGCTGTTGCACTAAGCCCTATTCACACGGGATTAGTTTTACCTAGGGACCACATACTATTTGTAATAATTATGGATATTGTCCGTGTTGTTAATCCCGTGCGAATCTGCCATGTCAGTATTTTGTAAAGTGAAAATTCTGCAAATTTCCTACTATATTTTGCTGAATTCAGAGGTCCTGTGATAATACTAATCCAATGCGAATAGACATCTCTGTGATTTGGACAGAAATGTGCAGGATCCGATACGTAATGAGGTGTTTTTTTATTTCTTTTTTAGCAAAATCATTTGGGAAAAATATAGAACAAGGCGGGCAGCATGGTGGCACAACTGGTAGAGCTGCTGCCTCTCAGTGAGCAGGTCCCTGGTTCAAACCCCGGTCCAGGGGCCATTCTGGGTGGAGTTTGCATGTTCTCTCCGTGCATACGTGGGTTTTCTCCGGGTACTCCGGTTTCCTCCCACAGACCAAAAACATGCATGTTAGACTGATTGGTAACTCTAAATTGTTCCTAAGTGAGAGAGTGAATGGTTGTCTTGTTTGTCTCTATGTCTCCCTGTGATGGACTTGCGACCCGTCCAGGGTGTACCCCGCCCCTCGCACAGTGATTGCTGGACATGGGCACCGGCGACCCCCATGACCCAAAATGGAATAAGCGGGTAAAGATAATGGATGGATGGATGGATAGAACAAGGCTATTTTAAATGAATGCGCTGCTTGCTTCGGCTTTTTAAAATTTATTATTATTTTTTTTAAACATATTTTTCTTTTTCGCTTCGGCTTTTATAAGCTGCTACTTCCTTCACCGCAGATGACGGGAGGTGCAGAGATGCGCGCAAGCAACTGACCCATCCATCCATATATTTACCTGTTTCTTCCTTTTCGGGTAGTGGGATCACTGGTAATCATTTCCAGCCATCACTGTACGAGAGGTGGGGTACACACTGGACAGGTCGAAAATCCATTTCAACCGGCAGGTCAGCTGTCACTGGCCGCTCACACGCAAGTCCGGTGACAGCTGTCCATCTGAGCTTAACGTGGCTTTTTTTTTCTTACCTCTTAAACTGGCTGTTTGGACCTGCCTCCTTCTCAAGTAGATTAACATTATTTTATATTGTGCATTCTTTAGTTTTCTTTGTGCTGCTTCGTAAAACCATATCAAAGCCTGAGACCGGCCAGACCAGCACATTAAACACATTATATGGACCGGTCCAGTCATGACGATGCAGCACGTTAACTTCATAACCAGAAGATGTCTTTAAATTTCAGCTAAATCTCAGACTTTGGTTATCCAAAGTGGGAGGTGTGAAAGGACATAAAAAACATCACAAACTATAGAGGCTGTGAGGTGACAACAGGAGACCTGAGTGCATCACTAGCAGAGGAGCTAAACTGCTTCTTTGCACGCTTTGATGCACCACAGCAGCACCCATCTGATCCTGCCCTGCTCCCACACCCACCCGGTTACTGCACCACTCCACTCACTGTACGGGAGCATGATGTTAGACATTCGCTCCAATCAGTGAACCCCAGGAATGCTACTGGCCCAGATGGAGTACCTGGCAGGGTGCTCAAAGCATGTGCCCTCCAGCTCGCCCCCACCTTCACCAGAATTTTCAATCTCTCCCTGGCCCAGGCAGTCATCCCTCCCTGCTTAAAATCTGCAACCATCATCCCAGTGCCGAAAACGCCTACCAGCACCAGCCTGAATGATTACCGACCGGTGGCTCTCACTCCGGTAATCATGAAGTGCTTCGAGAGACTGGTTCTCCAGCACATCAAGGCCTATCTCCCTCCGAACTTTGACCCCTACCAGTTTGCATATCGCACCAACAGGTCCACAGAGGATGCTATTGCAGTAGCTCTCCACACCGCGCTGAGCCACCTGGAACAGCACAGCTACGTTTGAATGCTCTTTGTGGATTACAGCTCGGCCTTTAATGCAATCATTCCGGACATTCTTATAAATATATTGGACAATCTCGGCCTCCCCCCACTCACATGTGCCTGGATAAAAGACTTCCTAACCAATCGGCCCCAATCTGTAAGACTTGGTCCCCACCTCTCCTCCACTCGTACGCTGAGCACTGGCTCCCCACAGGGCTGTGTGCTGAGCCCCCTCCTGTACTGTCTCTACACCCATGACTGCAGCCCGGCCCACAACAACAACCTCATCGTTAAGTTCGCTGATGACACCACAGTGGTCGGACTAATCTCTAAGTGAGATGAGACATTTTACAGACTGGAGGTCCTGGAGCTAGTGACTTGGTGCTCAGAGAAAAATCTGGCTCTGAATATAAAAAAAACCAAGGAGGTGATTATTGATTTCAGGAAGCACAGCACCAACCTAGCCCCCCTTTACATCAACGGCGAGTGCGTGGAGAGGGTTCACACTTTCAGATTTCTTGGTGTCCATATCTCTGCTGACCTAAACTGGAAAGAGAACACCACAGCGGTCATCAAGAAGGCTCAGCAGAGACTACACTTCTTAAGAGTACTGAAGAAGTACAACTTGAATACAAAACTGCTGCTGACCTTCTACCACTCGTCCATGGAGAGCCTGCTGACATACTGCATCTCAGTATGGTACGGCAGCTGCACCCTGGCTGACAGGGAGAGGCTTCAGAGAGTAGTCAAGACAGCACAAAAGTTGGCTGCCCTCTCCCCTCCCTGATGGACATTTACACATCACGCTGCCTCAACAGAGCAGAAAACATAATCAAGGACTGTTCACACCCGGGTTTTGAACTGTTTGACTTCCTACCTTTGGGGAAACGCTACAGGTGCATCAGAACACGAACAAACAGATTCAAGAACAGTTTTTTCTCGAACACCATCACCACACTGAACTCACACATGCACTGATTTAATCATCTAACCTCCCAAACCCCTGGACTTCTACTGTGCAATACTACTGACATTTCATACCCTCAGTCACCTTAACTACCTCACTAATATCCATAATGTGCAATATAATTGTGAAATACTTGTATTTTTTACTTTCATTATTATATCTATATTGCGTTACATTTTTATATTTTAGTGTGTGTTTTCTTAAGGCGTGTTTTTGCACTGAAAAAAGGAGTGGCTCTTAAGAGTCAGAGTCAGAGTTTCTTTATTGTCATTCGCACCTCATGTGGTACATGTGGTGGAGCGAAATTATGCACACAGGGTCCCAGTTACATCCAACAATAAAATGTATAAGAAAAACAGTAATAACATCTAAGATATGAACTAAGAAAAACATCAACTAAATATACAGTAAGCACTCATAACATAAAACATTGAACATCAGCACAAACATGAACATGAGTCTGTGAGCAGATGTGCACGCATGAACACATCAACATTGAAACAGATCAGCAGCAACATGAAACAGATCAGCAGCAACATGAAACAGATCAGCAGCAACATGATATGGTTTTTCACAGTGATTATTCTAGTTAGAGATTCATGAGTCTAACAGCCTCAGGGTAGAAGCTGTTCCTCAGTCTAGTGGTTCTACACTTAATGCTCCTTAACCTCCTTCCTGAGGGGAGTGGGGCAAAAAGTGTGTGTGCTGGGTGGGTGGGGTCCTTCATGATGCAGGTGGCCCTCTTCCTGCATCTGGAGGTGTAGATGTCTGTGATGGTGGGGAGACTGACTCCAACATCTTCTGTGCAGCCTTCACCACTCTCTGCAAAGCTTTTCTTTCTGCAGCTGTGCAGCCTCCATGCCACACATTGATGCTCGAGCACAGGATGCTCTCCACTGCACACCTGTAGAAGGAGGTGAGGACTGAGCTTCCCAGACCAGCTCGCCTCAGCCGTCTGAGGAAGTAGAGTCTTAATTTCATTGTACTGCGTATAATGACAATAAAGGCATTCTGATTCTGATCTCGTGTGAATGCACCACATTAAAAGCAGTCATTGGGGAGATTACACTGGTCCTTAAGTAAAACTAACCCGTGCGAATAGGGCTTCTGTCAGACATGTGTCTATGACTTTTACAGAGCAAGTCTCTGTGCTTCAGAGATACGTGCTTATTTATAAACTACATTTTTATCAACCCTTTGATTACAATGTGACTTCCTCATGACATCACCAATCATCCATTCATCCATCCATTATCTTTACCTGCTTCTTCCTTTTTGGGTTGCGGGATCGTTGGTACCCATGTCCAGCTATCACTGTGGGAGAGGCAGGGGACACCCTGGACAGGTTGCAAGTCATCACAGGGACACATAGAGACAAATGAGACAAGCAACCATTCACTCTCTCACTCACACCTAGAGACAATTTAGAGTTACTAATCAGCCTAACATGCATGTTTTTGGTCTGTGGGAGGAAACTGGAGTACCCAGAGAAAACCCACGCATGCACGAAGCAAACTTGCAAACTCCACCCAGGAAGTCCCCCGGACCAGGATTTGAACTGGGGAAACCTGCTCGCTGAGAGGCAGCAGCTCTACCAACTGTGCCACTGTGCTGCCCCATCACCAGTCATATTTATTTAAAATAACAGTGTATGACCAAATTGCTAAATGTGTGATCCTGGACTTCTTATCTGATGCTAATTAGCAGTAAAAATGAACAAAAACTAGTCTTTACCTCAAAGCAAAGCTATGATTGCAGCTTTGCAGAGCTGACAAGAGAACAACAGTTTATGACGTGGGAAAACTATAGTAATAAATGATGACCTTAATTTTTATATTTCAACAGAGACGGTACACAAAAGCTGCAGTATGCAAGGAATTTTCAGCCTCAAAACGATGAAGTCAGACACATCAGAGTTTTGCTTTATGGACCAGTTGGCGCTGGAAAGTCCAGCTTCATCAACTCTGTCAGTAATGTCTTAAGAGGGAAAATGACCATCCCTGCTTTGACCGGTGCAACCGTATCTGACACAAGTTTAACCAAGAAGGTAAGAAGAACTCTTAGTTGTACTCGGGGTTGAACTACCATTTGTACTCATAGCTGACATTTTCAATGCATTTTCAGAGATTTTAGTGCTAGTATTTGCATATTGTCTGTATAATACTGTCATTTTATCCCCGATGTAATCTCCAATTGTCTGACCATTTTTTTAAAGATGCTGTAGATTTTTTAATTAGAATGAATGAAATGATTTTTCAGTTACATACTTTTTTGAGAAGTAAGATTCACGTTTCTAGCAGAACTTACACTATTATTTATACTTAAACATGTTTCCATTGAGCGTAATCAAACTTTGGCTTTAGTGGAGCTGCTGGTTAGCACTGTTGCTGTGAATGAAGAAGGACCTGGGCTTGACTTTTAAATTGGAAATTTCTGCATAAAGTTTACATTTTGAACATTTACAGCCAGTAATAGTTATAATGTCATACATCTAGAGTTGAGTAGATGATTGTCACCAGAGCCAATGCCTCCAGCCTTGTTGTTTGATCTAAAACAAAATTTTATTGTTGGTTACACCAGAATGCAGTTGAAGGACAAAACTTTATTTTACTTTGTAACAAAATAAAGGCAATTTTTTTTAAATTAGTTTAGTGTATTAAATTTTATAATAGTTTCAAAATTTACCTCTATTTTATTTTTATTTACTCATTGACAGTTTTTACTGGTTGCATCAAGATTTGTTCTTACATATTTACTATTCTGTCTTTCAGTATGAAACCCACAAAATCCAGAAAGAAGGCAGAGGCACCTACTTCCCATTTGTGTTCAATGACATCATGGGTCTGGAGGACGGAACTGGAAGAGGAGTCTGTGCTCATGATCTCAAACTGGCCATGATGGGGCATGTGACGGAAGGTTACAAGGTACAACTGTTACACTTTGACCACATTGCAAATTCTAGTCCTTTAAAGTCATTTGAAGACAAACCATTACTTTGACCCTTTAAGTTTACACTTTAATAAATAGATCATTTTCCCCTCATAACTTTCATATAATTTGCTCCACCTTTATGTAACTTAGTCCACAATAAACACTTTTAGTGAACTCAAACTCTGATTGTTCTTTTATAAATCCCCACTCATTTAACTTTTCAGTTCAATCCTGCCTCTCCACTGTCCAGTGGTGATGCAGACTACGAAGCTTCTCCAACTGTAGACGACAAAGTCCATGTTCTAGTTTGTTTCTACTCTGCTAATGCAGCTGCTATGAACACCTCCGTTTTAAAGAAAATGAAGGAAATCAGGGAAGCAGCCAATGACCTGGGTAAGAACAGACCTTTGAATGTAATTTATAATTTCACAACAACTATGTTGTATATAAAGTTGATAAAAATATTACATGGAAAAACTGAAGAGTTTAGTTCTTCTGTAAATTTTGACTTTGGTTCGCAACAATGTTTCCAGCAGCTACATCACACTCTGAGTTAGTTCTTTTCTTACATCTGCTTGACAATTTAAATATCTAATTGTGATCAAAAACTGAAATGATTTTATATCTCATCAAAAAAGCAAATGTAAAATAACAGGAGAAAAGTAAATGTTTGCATCTGCAGGTATTCCCCAACTGGCAGTTATCACCAAAATTGATGAGGCTTGTGGTGAAACTGACAATTTTCTGAGAAATGTCTACAAGAGCAAACATTTAAAGAAAAAAGTGAGTTTCAAACTTCAGCAGAATGTAAGTTTACAAATGACAATATTTGCCTCATAGTGAAATCTTGTTTTTATTTTTATAGATGACCGACTTTAGTTCAAGTCTGGGGATTCCGATGAACTGCATCCTTCCTGTGAAGAACTACAGTAAAGAAACTCAAATAGATGTGGACGTTGATACTCTCATCCTTGATGCACTGAGACTAATTATTGACTTTGGAGATGACTACACTGATAAACTGTAAAGCTTCAGAGTACAAAGTTGCTATTTATGGCAGTCGCAGCAGTAAAACTAGGCCAACCAGTGGCAATCTAGACCTATAGACCTGCCTTCAGCTTGAATAAAATATACAGTTATGTAAATTTAATCTCAATGAGCTTTGTAGTGATCTAGTATAGAGCTGTATGAATGGGTAAATGAGGACACAGATTGTAGTGTAAAGAGCTTTGAGTATCTTGAAATAAGATAGAAAGACGCTATATAAGTACAGTCCATTTACCATTTAATTTGCACTTCTGATTACTTTAGAAATGTACTAAATTAATTGGCATCAGAATCATTTGTAATGAGTCAGGGGACACACTGGTGTGTGTGTGTGGAGGGTGGGGTCCTGGGTGGGGGGGAGGTCTCGGGGTCGTCCATCGGAACATTTTGAACAAAGTAAACTACTTCCTGCATTCTAGTGTATTTGAAAGTGTTGACAAACATCTCTGTTTACCTACATAAGGAAACGTGCACTGCAGTATGTCCGCACTGACGGAAGCTCCACTTCGATTCAATCATTTTTGGGTCCTGTTGTTTTTGTTTTAACTTATTTTGTGTCCACACTGCACACCCACGCTACAGGTATGACCATGACACATTTTTGGAGTTTTTTGTGTCACTGCCTTTCCATCCCGCCATTGTGGTTCATTTCCTGGCACCCCTCCAGCTTCGGGCTCAGGCTCCACCTGCCATGGCAGCCGTCATCAGGATCATCCACCTGCCTGCATGAACCATTCATTCAACCTTTATTTAGACAGATAAGTCCCATTGAGCCTCGAGGACTCATTTACAAGAGAGACCTGATTTCAACAAAGAAAGATGACAACAATGGACAACAGCAACAACAATAAACAGTTATAAAAAGTCATACTGCAGGGGTTTTTTTTTTTTTTTTTTTTTTTTTTACAAATAGGATGGCTAAAAGGAAAAGGTAACAACAACAAAAAAACAGCTAGATTCTAAGGCGAATGTAGAAAACTAAAAACTGGAACATGTCTGCATTGGTCCCTGCCAGGAGTCCAACAGATTCTTAAAGACACTTAGAGAGGTCAAAGGTCGAGAGCTTCAGATCTTTTTGTAAGATATTCCAGGAAACAGGAGCAGAGTAGGAGGAGTCTACGAACCTGTTTGGCTCTGCGAGTAAAACCTTGGATGTTCTCTGTCTGCTGGACCTGGTTCTGGAGGAGAGTCTGTGAGGGCAGCTGTTGCAGTCGTTATTACCATCAAACTGCTGGCGAGACCTGCTAACAAGTCCTGCTAACAAGACCTGTTAAGACCACATCGCTAACAAAACCATGCTGCTGAAAGAACCTCACTGCTAACTGAACCACACTGTACATGTATTTCTATTTCACTTTTGGTGCCTTGTTTTTGTGTTTTTGCTGCATGCTTTGGTATTTCTTGTTGTTGTTTTTTTTTTGGCGAGTCAAGGTGGTTCTTCTCTTCCTAAGCATTTCATTGCATTGTTGACCTTGTATTGATTTTTGTATATGACAAATAAACCAAACCTGAAAAACTTGATGCAATATCTATTTTAAAGTTAGTGGCACAACAAGTAGCCTGACCAACAGCTGTCCTTGTATGAATAGAGCATGCTCCACTTCTTTCAAGCATCCTAGAAAGACAGAAGAAGAAGAATGGTAGGTCCAGGTATAGGTCCAGGTGTAACTGAAAAACAAAAAAAACACATGTTAAGGATCGAAAAAATAATTACAAATACAAAACTGTTTGAGTAGGGGTATCTGAGGCAGGCTTGAAACACAAGAGTCAGGGTGGCTTCTGGGTAATACCAGATGGCTAGGCCTCAGACTGACGAAGCCTCTTGGATGAGGGGCGAAACGTTTCTTTTTAACAAAAAAAAACGAAGTCCAGATGACATGATTCAACCTTTTTTGTTGTTATATACCTGGATGACTGAGAAAACAAACTTTGTGTTTTTGAAACCATTAGTGAAAAGGCCAGACTTCAGGGGTATCTGAGGCAGGCTTG